CCCCTAGACTGAAACAGTTCAGAGGTCTGTCTTCACTGCTTGCTTACAATAAGATTCTTACAACCCACTTCCCAAGTAGCAAACCTTACGTAACTTGGAACCCAATTTGAAGGTATAAAATTCGTGCAACTGATGATCAAAGTTATCCCCTAACATAAATGCTGATATCATATACACACATTATAGTATTATTGGTAAAATGTCATTGACGGGAGGAGCTTTTCTGTTTTTAATGACGTCAGTTTACAATGATGATTGAAGGCAGATTCAGAGGCGAAAAGGAGAGAAGCTGAAAACAAGGAATGCTTTGTTTTCAGACTCACTATCTAAAGACCCATTACCCATTACCCATTTTTTTTTTTTTTACATTTACCCCCGACAATAACGACAGACACTCTAGACGAAACATCTCTAGGTAGACATTGAAACGAGAACCTACAGGATACACTGAGTTATCATTTGAATTGTTTGTGATTTCATCAACAGGACATATATTTACCGGTACATTAACTTCATGTGTTGTGGTGTCTAATTGAAATGAGATTCAGCATTGCTAAGCTTTTAATTATATTGAAGATGTGATTAATTCAATATTTCTTTTAATTATCTATAATGTTATTTCAAACATAATTTTAATATTTTTAATTTTTAGAGTGTAAGAAATATTATAAGTTAAGTAAGTTGTTTTCTAGTAAACAAATTTCGGTGACATGCATTATATGACATTTTACTTGTTGTTCTGTTTGTAGGTTATTTACTTTATTATGTTGTCATATGTAATTGCTAATAATAATTAAAAACTTTTTTTATTGTTTGCTGTCTTTACCAGACAAACCAGATACCTGATGGTAAAAGTTTGGACCGCACAATATCCCACGCTGCAAAAATTGTCATAAAACGTGAATTTTAAAACCAGTCAGATCAGTGATTAATCAATAAATTTCTAGCCTATCCGGGATATTGCTGTTTCTAATTAACTCATTTACCCCTGAAATTTCATAATGGACTATTCCAACCTTTGAATTGGAAGAGTTTAAATGTGTCTGCAGGGGTGAATGAGTTAACTTTGATGAACATTTATTAAGATTAAAGCTCAGTGTTAAGAGTACTAGATTGTTTCGGGCAGACCTGCTCTGTGTAAGAAGGCGTGTTGTTGGGAACCTCGTTCTGGCATAGATCCTGTAATTAATATATCGTCATGACAACACAACAAAACTCAAAAAAGTTCAAACAATCGCAGAAATGTTAAAATCCAAATCTAATATCATGACATACCTGCAGAGCCTGAAAATGTTATAATTGAGAAATGATAAAGTAATGCTACATTATCAGTTATGGGGAAAATTATTTCTATGTTAGTTTCATAACATCATAAATTGCACTCTTTTTTTATAAGAATTTGTTTATAAAACTATATGTATTACTGAGGAAGAAGAAAATTTATCACATACAAAAATTAATTTTCATGATTTTTTTTAATAATTTCTTTGCAATTTAGAACATTTTACATGCAAATTGAAACAGTTTATATACTGACTGCTGCAATTGAAGAAGTCGTTTAAGAATTTGATGCTCCTTTTAACTATATAAATTTATAAAGTTATTAAATAACTTGAATATGTAACTTGGAGTTATAGTATAACTACAGCGTACAAAATAGGTCAAATGTTCAAAGGCCTGCCATACTTATAGGTAACTGTTTTACTCTAGTGATTTTTTAATAGTGGAGAATCCCCATCACATCATCGACGCTTTAGTGATGGACGAGGAGGATTTTGAGAACAAGTGGCAATGTGAAGGTAAAGTTTAGTTTTATAGGTTGCTGTTGATGATAGAAATGGAAATGCTATTTGACCCCTGATAGCCAGAAGGCTACAGAAACTGAAAATGACAGAATTAGATTGACATGAAGGTGTCAGTGATACGTTAAAGATAAATACACATGCCATACTGCCCTAACCCCTGTAACTACTGCCCTAACCCCTGAAACTACTGCCCTAACCCATGTAACTACTGCCCTAACCCATGTAATTACTGCCCTACCCCATGTAACTACTGCCCTAACCCCTGAAACTTCTGCCCTAACCCATGTAACTACTGCCCTAACCCCTGAAACTTCTGCCCTAACCCATGTAACTACTGCCCTAATCCCTGAAACTACTGCCCTAACCCATGTAACGACTGCCCTAACCCCTGTAAATTCTGCCCTGTAACTACTACCCTAACCCCTGTAAATATTGCCCTAACCCCTGTAGCTACTGCTCTAACCCCTGTAACTACTGCCCTTACCCCTGTAACCACTGCCCTAACCACTGTAACTACTGCCATGTAACTACTGCCCTAACCCCTGTAACTACTGCCCTAACCCATGTAATTACTGCCCTAACCCATGTAACTACTGCCCTAGCCGCTGTAACTACTGCCCTAACCCATGTAACTACTGCCCTAACCCCTGTAAATACTGCCCTGTAACTACTACCCTAACCCCTGTAAATATTGCCCTAACCCCTGTAGCTACTGCTCTAACCCCTGTAACTACTGCCCTTACCCCTGTAACCACTGCCCTAACCACTGTAACTACTGCCATGTAACTACTGCCCTAACCCCTGTAACTACTGCCCTAACCCCTGTAACTACTGCCCTAACCCCTGTAACTACTGCCCTAACCCCTGTAACTATTGTCCTAACCCCTGTAACCATCTTAAATTACACAAATTCATTTCTTAAAATTCAGTTAGGGTTAGGGTTAGGGGTAGGGTAACCCTAACCCTAACCCTAAGGTGGGAACAGTCACTTTAACAGGTCTCATTTTAACCTGAAACTACAGAATATAGTCACTTCAAGCTAATAACAGTCACTTTAAATTTGAGGAATTCTAGACTAATTTCTTGATATATAATATAATACCATGTACAATAAAAAGTTCATTAAGTTTTTAATAAAGGTTAAACTGTAGTGGTACCGTATTATGATTGTACGTGACCAGGTGTGTGGCTCATGAGCCACCCCTACACCGCTAACCCTAGTACACATTATGATTGTACGTGACCAGGTGTGTGGCTCATGAGCCACCCCTGAGTACACCGCTAACCCTAGTACACATTATGATTGTACGTGACCAGGTGTGTGGCTCATGAGCCACCCCTACACCGCTAACCCTAGTACACATTATGATTGTACGTGACCAGGTGTGTGGCTCATGAGCCACCCCTGAGTACACCGCTAACCCTAGTACACATTATGATTGTACGTGACCAGGTGTGTGGCTCATGAGCCACCCCTACACCGCTAACCCTAGTACACATTTTGATTGTACGTGACCAGGTGTGTGGCTCATGAGCCACTCCTACCCCGCTAACCCAAGTACACATTATGATTGTACGTGACCAGGTGTGTGGCTCATGAGCCACCCCTACCCCGCTAACCCTAGTACACATTATGATTGTACGTGACCAGGTGTGTGGCTCATGAGCCACCCCTACACCGCTAACCCTAGTACACATTATGATTGTACGTGACCAGGTGTGTGGCTCATGAGCCACCCCTGAGTACACCGCTAACCCTAGTACACATTATGATTGTACGTGACCAGGTGTGTGGCTCATGAGCCACCCCTACACCGCTAACCCTAGTACACATTTTGATTGTACGTGACCAGGTGTGTGGCTCATGAGCCACTCCTACCCCGCTAACCCAAGTACACATTATGATTGTACGTGACCAGGTGTGTGGCTCATGAGCCACCCCTGAGTACACCCCTAACCCTAGTACACATTATGAAGATAGACATGTTTTATATAGAGCTACACCCTTCACAAGCTAGACATGATTTATATAGCGCTACACCCTTCACAAGCTAGACATGATTTATATAGCGCTACACCCTTCACAAGCTAGACATGTTTTATATAGAAGACAGTTGACACGCCACATCATTCTACTGAAACCATGTTTATCCAGCTTTTTCTTTATACAAGTCTGCCTTTTATTTGTAGGTAAGATATATTTTTCACTTTTATCAGCAATCAAATCAAATCAGAAAAACTTTGTTATAATAAGTTTCTTTAAAATGATCTTTGGGAAATTTATTCATCTTTAAAATAAATGTTCAAATTTAGAACTGGTTTTTCAACATGATTTCAGTTGAATGGCAATGCAGTGTCATGGCGCTGAACAGCATTTCATCATAGACAGTAGTTAAAAAGTACCAAGTGTCAACACAGAGTTTAATGTAATGATCCCAATATAACATGTGTCTGGTTTGTATCACTGTTTATCTACACTCAGGCATGGTGTGATCTGGACCTGTCCTGTGATGTGTACCGCTGGTGTAATCTATAAATCTAGTGGTACACAGGACATGTCAGATATAACTAGTGGTACACAGGACATGTCAGATATAACTAGTGGTACACAGGACATGTCAGATATAACTAGTGGTACACAGGACATGTCAGATATAACTAGTGGTACACAGGACATGTCAGATATAACTAGTGGTACACAGGACATGTCAGATATAACTAGTGGTACACAGGACATGTCAGATATAACTAGTGGTACACAGGACATGTCAGATATAACTAGTGGTACACAGGACATGTCAGATATAACTAGTGGTACACAGGACATGTCAGATATAACTAGTGGTACACAGGACATGTCAGATATAACTAGTGGTACACAGGACATGTCAGATATAACTAGTGGTACACAGGACATGTCAGATATAACTAGTGGTACACAGGACATGTCAGATATAACTAGTGGTACACAGGACATGTCAGATATAACTAGTGGTACACAGGACATGTCAGATATAACTAGTGGTACACAGGACATGTCAGATATAACTAGTGGTACACAGGACATGTCAGATATAACTAGTGGTACACAGGACATGTCAGATATAACTAGTGGTACACAGGACATGTCAGATATAACTAGTGGTACACAGGACATGTCAGATATAACTAGTGGTACACAGGACATGTCAGATATAACTAGTGGTACACAGGACATGTCAGATATAACTAGTGGTACACAGGACATGTCAGATATAACTAGTGGTACACAGGACATGTCAGATATAACTAGTGGTACACAGGACATGTCAGATATAACTAGTGGTACACAGGACATGTCAGATATAACTAGTGGTACACAGGACATGTCAGATATAACTAGTGGTACACAGGACATGTCAGATATAACTAGTGGTACACAGGACATGTCAGATATAACTAGTGGTACACAGGACATGTCAGATATAACTAGTGGTACACAGGACATGTCAGATATAACTAGTGGTACACAGGACATGTCAGATATAACTAGTGGTACACAGGACATGTCAGATATAACTAGTGGTACACAGGACATGTCAGATATAACTAGTGGTACACAGGACATGTCAGATATAACTAGTGGTACACAGGACATGTCAGATATAACTAGTGGTACACAGGACATGTCAGATATAACTAGTGGTACACAGGACATGTCAGATATAACTAGTGGTACACAGGACATGTCAGATATAACTAGTGGTACACAGGACATGTCAGATATAACTAGTGGTACACAGGACATGTCAGATATAACTAGTGGTACACAGGACATGTCAGATATAACTAGTGGTACACAGGACATGTCAGATATAACTAGTGGTACACAGGACATGTCAGATATAACTAGTGGTACACAGGACATGTCAGATATAACTAGTGGTACACAGGACATGTCAGATATAACTAGTGGTACACAGGACATGTCAGATATAACTAGTGGTACACAGGACATGTCAGATATAACTAGTGGTACACAGGACATGTCAGATATAACTAGTGGTACACAGGACATGTCAGATATAACTAGTGGTACACAGGACATGTCAGATATAACTAGTGGTACACAGGACATGTCAGATATAACTAGTGGTACACAGGACATGTCAGATATAACTAGTGGTACACAGGACATGTCAGATATAACTAGTGGTACACAGGACATGTCAGATATAACTAGTGGTACACAGGACATGTCAGATATAACTAGTGGTACACAGGACATGTCAGATATAACTAGTGGTACACAGGACATGTCAGATATAACTAGTGGTACACAGGACATGTCAGATATAACTAGTGGTACACAGGACATGTCAGATATAACTAGTGGTACACAGGACATGTCAGATATAACTAGTGGTACACAGGACATGTCAGATATAACTAGTGGTACACAGGACATGTCAGATATAACTAGTGGTACACAGGACATGTCAGATATAACTAGTGGTACACAGGACATGTCAGATATAACTAGTGGTACACAGGACATGTCAGATATAACTAGTGGTACACAGGACATGTCAGATATAACTAGTGGTACACAGGACATGTCAGATATAACTAGTGGTACACAGGACATGTCAGATATAACTAGTGGTACACAGGACATGTCAGATATAACTAGTGGTACACAGGACATGTCAGATATAACTAGTGGTACACAGGACATGTCAGATATAACTAGTGGTACACAGGACATGTCAGATATAACTAGTGGTACACAGGACATGTCAGATATAACTAGTGGTACACAGGACATGTCAGATATAACTAGTGGTACACAGGACATGTCAGATATAACTAGTGGTACACAGGACATGTCAGATATAACTAGTGGTACACAGGACATGTCAGATATAACTAGTGGTACACAGGACATGTCAGATATAACTAGTGGTACACAGGACATGTCAGATATAACTAGTGGTACACAGGACATGTCAGATATAACTAGTGGTACACAGGACATGTCAGATATAACTAGTGGTACACAGGACATGTCAGATATAACTAGTGGTACACAGGACATGTCAGATATAACTAGTGGTACACAGGACATGTCAGATATAACTAGTGGTACACAGGACATGTCAGATATAACTAGTGGTACACAGGACATGTCAGATATAACTAGTGGTACACAGGACATGTCAGATATAACTAGTGGTACACAGGACATGTCAGATATAACTAGTGGTACACAGGACATGTCAGATATAACTAGTGGTACACAGGACATGTCAGATATAACTAGTGGTACACAGGACATGTCAGATATAACTAGTGGTACACAGGACATGTCAGATATAACTAGTGGTACACAGGACATGTCAGATATAACTAGTGGTACACAGGACATGTCAGATATAACTAGTGGTACACAGGACATGTCAGATATAACTAGTGGTACACAGGACATGTCAGATATAACTAGTGGTACACAGGACATGTCAGATATAACTAGTGGTACACAACACAGGACATGTCAGATATAACCAGAGATAAACATTACACGTTAATCTGTGTTGACAACAAGACTAGAATACTCAGGTATGACTTCCTCCTCACAGAGACACAATACTCCAAATATTGATATTGTTAACTTTTGTAAATTTCAAATGAAATAGTTAAATATTTCAGTATGACTTTTGTATTCAGTGTACGAAAATCTGTTATATAGATGTGAGTATATATTCTTCATAAGTTTGTGCTTGTATCATTTTTCGAACCACTTGGTAAGAATAATTGTGTCACACATTTTTCAATTTATTATCCTGAAAACACCATCCACTGTATCACAGTGTTGGTGTTTTGAGTTAATATCATTAAAAGAAGAATAAATTGTGAATGTGTGATATAACTTTTGAAGCTGTGTATCTGTGTGGAGGAGACATATGTGAGTTGTCTGACATAGTTTCTAGCCACACCAGTAAAGACAATAGAACAAGTGCTTGTTAACCTTTTCCTCCTCGGGAATCTGTTCAAGGTAAAACAAATCCAATATGTAAACCAAACCTCTTCCAGAAAACAAAACACTGGATGTCAGTTTCCCCTACTTCTGGTTTCGCCATAGTATTCCTCACTGATGTTATGTAGTGGAGGTCCTCCACTCCATTACACTGTATTATTATACTGCTGACACTTTTAGTCCGCTTCAAGCTGAGTCTGAGTTTAAGTCTTTCTGTTAAGTCTATGGCAGATTTAGTTTGAGCTCAGAATGAAGCATTCTAGAAATTCTGTGATAATGGACCCTTGAGTTTTTTGAAAAACTTTTTTTTTTCTCTTTTAGACATATTTATAGCGGTGCATTCTGGGATATTAATATTCAGGGTCCGCCACTGTAACACAAGTGTCACAGACCTGGTGTTACATGATCAATCCATACAGCGTAATGATAACAATTGTATTTACATTATAATGCATTAAACATGAATGAAGAAAAATGGCAAAACCAGTAAAAAGGAAAAAATGATTTGTACAGAGTGCTTGAAGTATGAAAAGGGGTTTCTATTTTTCTTCAAAATATAACATTTTGATCTAATGTCATTTTGAACTAATCTCTGAGAAATGGGGATACATCAAACATCAAATCGGTCTGTATCAATGAGCTTTTGGCTCAGATGAGCTAAAATAAATTCATTTTAATTTCTCAAATCTTTCACCAAAACCTCAGCTCTTTTTTCCTCTAAAATTTTCACTACATTTTCACTAATAAATTAATTAAAAAGTGCGGATAAAATACAGGTAAAGATAAAATAGTATAGTAGTTATCTTTATCAGAAAAAAAATATACCACATGCATGAAAACTCCCACAGGGAAGGGGATAAGTTTCATTTTGTTTTATATCAGTCTAATATTCAGACTATGAGGTCATAATCCTTTCTTGATTTTTTTTTAAAGTTTATAGATGGTAATAAAAATTATCATAGTTTGTAAAATTGGCATTCTAGTTATAATAGAATATTGTTCGGCCAAATAAAATATCGTTTATTTCCACTCATCAGATACGGATGTCTATAGGATTGTTGTGTGTAGCCTAACACGGGTGATACAGACGTTTCCTTGGTAACAGTTTGTTATCAGTGATTTTTGTTTGCTAAGTTTTACAGCCGAATACAGGCTGTTTCTCCAGCTAAAAAGTGATTTATTTTCCCAAAATGAGGAAAAAATTGAGGAATAAATTCCCAATTTCAAAAGAAATAATGCTATATTTTCCCAATTCATACAGGAACAGGCTGTTTCAAAATTTAATTAAAAAAACTCTGGTTATAAGGAGTTTGCTCCAAAGCTTGGATACTCATTTTGTGATTGTGGTAATCTGATTGCTGGCAGAACTAGGCTGGGTAGAGGGTGTATACAGGGTAACACGCGGCTATCACACAGTGGTTTCTACAACTTAACGTACTTATCCAGCAATTAGCCCAGGGACCAACACACCTGACTCAAAGTTATAAGAGGGTGGGCTTATCACAGGACAATGAAATAGCATTTGGTTGCACTTCTACAGAACTGCAATATATATATGGGTGGGCTTATTACCAGACATGGGCTTATTACCAGAAATGGGCTTATTACCAGACATGGGCTTATTACCAGACATGGGCTTATTGCTGGATAAATAGGGTAAAGCAACCATGTCAAGTCGACTTTGTATACCAGTCAAAAACATATTGGGACTTTTGAGTGAGGTGGTTTTTATTTAGAAATATTCTGAAGTTTCTGCTGGGGCTATCACCTGGTATTATCCTAAGTTATCAAAGGTGAGATTGAGATTCTCTTACAAAAATAAAATCGGAAAAAAATCCAAAGAGCACAAGCTGATGCTATTTTTAAACAATAATTTACACAACACTCTGAGTTTCATCATTTTAATAACCTCAGTTTTGAAGAAACTTAATAGAACAGAGTCCTGTATTAATATTGTACAATACAGTTAACTTTTGATGATATATACTCATTTTGTTTAAATTTGCAATGAAATTGGACTGTTTTACCATTAAGTACAATATAGTATATTTATAATCATAGGTAGATAGACAATATGGTTTGGAAAATAATGGGCCTTGTATTATACTAAAATACTGATCTTGATGTTTTCAAATTTGAAACAAATTCTATTAAAAGCAAATTTATACAAAAATGATATTGAAGACATTTTTTTAAACATTCTTTTTTTTTTCAAGAAATTTCAGCCAGAAGTATCAGATAAATCAACACCACAACAGCATACTGTGAAACTTCAAAACTATCAAACACATCATCTCAATATTAATGTGGTTATCTCAACTCATTCTGGTTTACCTTTTTTCTGCCCTCCTTTCTCCTCCTTTTCTTTCTTCCCTCCTTTAGTTTTATCATGTTTCTCCTCTTCTTTAGCATCTTTCCCACCTTTACCATCCTTCAATCAGAAGCCATTTTATACATGACTGGGGCCTAAACACATTGTATTACATGTACACGACTGGGGCCTAAACACTTTGTATTACATACATGACTGGGGCCTAAACACTTTGTATTACATGTACACGACTGGGGCCTAAACAATTTGTATTACATGTTGTTACAGGCCTATAAACACTGTATTACATGTACATGACTGGGGCCTAAACACTGTAATGCATGTACACGACTGGGGCCAAAACACTGTAATACATGTACACGACTGGGGCCTATATATATGGAGATTTTATAATTAATAGAGTCAAGGTTGAATGTCAGGATATTTTGATATAGGTAGAATTTGGAATATTTTGCCAAAATGGCACAATTAAATTTTACTGCAACATTTTTTTCAATTTAAACATATTCAAGTAAAAATTATATACAGGTTTTATAATGAACAACTCTTCTTGGTACAGTTTAGAATTGGAGTTCTCACCTTCTTTTTGCCGGAGGGTTTCCCTGCCTTTTTGTCCTTATCAGCATGAGAGCTACTGCGTACACTGCCTGGCCGATCCTTCGAATCAGCACGTCGGCTGGGTGGTGGCTAGTCACACATAACACACATAACAAATAGAACAAATATCCTGAAACTTTATCTAAAGGTCAAATCATAATTTATAGATGTGAAAAATCGTTTTCTTGGGGTCAAATTATTATTCACAGAGGTTAAACAGCTACTAATAGAGGTCAAACCATTAGAGAAAGAGGTGAAACCTTTACAGGGTTAACCCTTTCACCCCTAGGTAGCTTTAGTAGACTCTGCCATACATTTGTTTGGATGAGTCCATTATGGACTACAGTGGTGAAAGGGTTAAACTCTCAACTATAAGGTATAATTTGACATGTTCTTTGTGATAAAAGCTAAATGTACTTTACACAAATAACATTGGAAACCTTTTCAATTGGATTTAATAAGCAAACATATAAACAAGCTCATTACAATTACATGTTGCCCACTCGTTCTCCTATTAAGGAGCCCTGTCCCACCGACTCTGGTTTTTCGTTATACAGTTACCTCCCCTTAATTATTGTTTTGGATAAAACTGTAGCACAGATTGGCCAGGACACCTCTGTTGACTAGGTAGCCGAGCTGGTTAGAGCGACAACATAACAATCCGAGGTCTTGGATTCAAATCCCAGTCTAGCCCACCGAGCTGGTTAGAGCGACAACATAACAATCCGAGGTCTTGGATTCAAATCCCAGTCTAGCCCACTAACTGTTTTACAATAAGAACTGGCTGTTGTTGATCATATTTTGTTAATTTCACTTTAGTTTTCATAAAAATTCACAAAGGTATGGTTTTCTTGTCAGAAATTAATTCATCAAAGCTACTATTATCATGCCGGAAAATTAGTTTTCAATGCGCAGTTACAGTTTTTGTGTATGGGAATCCTTAAATTATATATCATTATTACATACTTGAAGATCATAATAATTTTCAGACTTAATTTATTGTTATAAAAGATTATTAGTAAGTAGACTAAATTGCTTAATATCAAGTATACCCCTAACTTAACCCTTTCACCCCTAGGTAACTTTAGTAGACTCTTATCATACATTTATCTAGATGAGTCCATTGTGGTCTACAGTGGTGAAAGGGTTAAGAGTAATTTATGTTTTAGTACAATTTGTTTTGAAGGAAAGTTGAAAGTGTGTCACTTACCGACTTATTTCTATCCGGAGAACCTTTGACGTGTTCCACCTTCCGACTTATTTCTATCCGGAGAACCTTTTACGTGTGTCACCTACCGACTTATTTCTGTCCGGAGAACCTTTTACATGTGTCACCTACCGACTTATTTCTGTCCGGAGAACCTTTTACGTGTGGCACCTACCGACTTATTTCTGTCCGGAGAACCTTTTATGTGTGTCACCTACCGACTTATTTCTGTCTGGAGAACCTTTTACGTGTGTCACCTACCGACTTATTTCTGTCTGGAGGACCTTTTACGTGTGTCACCTACCGACTTATTTCTGTCCGGAGAACCTTTTACGTGTGTCACCTACTGACTTATTTCTTTCCGGAGAACCTTTTACGTGTTTCACCTACCGACTTATCTTTCCGGAGAACCTTTTACGTGTGTCACCTACCAACTTATTTCTGTCAGGAGAACCTTTTACGTGTTTCACCTACCGACTTATTTCTGTCCGGAGAACCTTTTACGTGTTTTACCTACCGACTTATTTCTTTCCAGAGAACCTTTAACGTGTGTCACCTACCGACTTATTTCTGTCCGAAGAACCTTTAACGTGTGTCACCTACCGACTTATTTCTGTCTGGAGAACCTTTAACGTGTGTCACCTACCGACTTATTTCTGTCTGGAGAACCTTTAACGTGTGTCACCTACCGACTAATTTCTATCTGGAGAACCTTTTAAGTGTGCCACCTACCAACTTATTTCTATCCGGAGAACCTTTTACGTGTGTCACCTACCGACTTATTTCTGTCCGGTGAACCTTTTACGTGTGTCACCTACAGACTTATTTCTGTCCGGAGAACATTTTACGTATTTCACCTATCAACTTATTTCTGTCCGAAGAACCTTTTACGTGTGACACCTACCGACTTGTTTCTATCCGGAGAACCTTTTTCTGAGAACTGTTTCCGTCGCTCTACAACTTCTTCATGCGAGAGAGGAAATCTTGACAGGACCTGAAACAGAAGGGAGACAACTGAAAAACAGCACCACTGAAAAAGGATTCATACATAAAAGTTAAAATTAATTTACAGAAAACTATATAGTTACGGCTTTTTCATTTTACAAACAGTTTACATTAGAATAGATATTGATATCACACAGAAACACTGACACACTTACCTCCCCTTCACACAGAAACACTGACACACTTACCTCCCCTTCACACAGAAACACTGACACACTTACCTCCCCTTCACAAAGAAACACTAACACACTTACCTCCCCTTCACACAGAAACACTGACACACTTACATCCCCTTCACACAGAAACACTGACACACTTACCTCCCCTTTACACAGAAACACTGACACACTTACCTCCCCTAACTTGATGGCACCTTTATCTTTGATTTGATTGGATGCGAGTGAGAGTGACATCAGAGTCCTGTTCATCCGCAGACCCTGAAGGATAACAAATAAAGAATCACAAAAACTGGATGGATTTCCTGAAAGTTCCAATACAATATATCTTTAAATTTGGAGAGAAAAAATGACATCTCTGCTAAATAGCTGCCTAGGATATCAACTTTACCATGGAATGGCGTTGTAAAATATCACAATTAATCAAATTTTAAAAGGTAAAAAGAGATCAAATACAAAATCATATTAGATAAAAAATAGATTACCATGGCAATGTGTTCTGCGCCCAGGTCTCCGATCATATTTCCCGCCAGATTAAGGGAGATGAGTTTCATGTTGACCTTTTTGACCGAGCCTATAGCTGTACCAAGAGATTGTGCCCCTTTGTCTGTGATTCCACAGTGTCGCAGTGACAAGTTCTGTAGCCTGGTCAAGACAAGGTGTATATTCACATAAATTCATCGCTAGGAAAGACAAAAGTCTGACAGAATCATAACGGATCGCAGAGAAACAGGATTTGCTTTGTTTACAAGTATTTTATGTCCTATTAACAATTATGGTCATTTAAGGACGTGCCAGGTTTCGGTGGTGGAGGAAAGCCGGAGTTCCTGGAGAAAATCCACCGACCTACGGCCAGTACCTGACGACTGCCCCACATAGGCCTCCAACCTGTGACCCAGTAGTGGAGGGCTAGTAGTAGGAGAAGGTCAGACCCCTTGACCCCTTAACTTGGCCACAGGGTCACTTAGGATCACAATATGATCACACAAGATCAGACATGATCAGATTTGATTGATCTGGATCAGAAAGGATTCAACTGGATCATAGATATATAAGAGGGCCTTTGTTAATTTATTCTGATTGTTTGTATGTAGCAGAAAATTATTAGATAAGAAAATGTTGAGAAACAACTTACGGACTTTCTTCACTGATGAGTTCATGCCAGTTCTCAGCCTCCACACAGTTGCCGTCTACTATCAGTGTCCTAGACAATACAGAAGTACGCAGGTGAGATATAGCATCGCCATTGAGTCCTACCAGAGGTAAGTCAGAGGTCAGTCAGAGGTAAGTCAGAGGTCAGTCAGAGGTAAGTCAGAGGTATATGTAACACTGCTGAGGACTTATAGATAATGAATATTAAAACCTAATGCTTCACAAATCTTCAGAATATTTATTTTAGTAATCCAGAGATCACAGATCTGATATTATTTTTTCCATTACATCTTCAAAGTGATTTTAGAACATAAATCAATTTTCAGTTTTTGTGTAAAAAAGCATAGTAATGTCATAAAAAACAACCAAATACCTTCTTACAGGACACAGGGTTGACCTGCACTGACACAGCAGGGGTACGCTACCCTATATCTAAGCCATCATGATGTATTACACAATATGCAGTATTACAATACCTGAGGTTGACGATGTTTGGGATACAGTTAGCCATCATGGTGAGCGTCTCTCCCGCCAAACCAGTGTTCCACAGACTGTAATCAAAAACATTCTCAGGGTAAAAGCAAAATTTGAACCTTAGTTTATGCCGACATTTCTAATCTGGTAGTCCTACTATTCAGTCAGTGTTATAGGAAATAAAGTGACAAATTTGTCTCAGTTATCTGGCTATCTCGCAGTTCAGCAACTTTTGCTGGAAATGAAAATGGCTTGATTATGGAAATTTAATTTTACACAAGTGTGAAAATGACTTAAATTGTAAATGACTTAATGTACTTTATGCATACATTTTTGATTTTTCAGGTTTTCTGTATATACAACTTTTTTGTTGTCTATGGACTTCAGCAGGTCTAGTATGTGTTCATCATATGGTCTTTATGGTCAATATATACCTAGGGAGATCTAAGGGGAGACAACTTACTTGATTGTGTGCAGTTTCTCCATGACAGGCCAGCACTGAGCAAATGTAGCCATCATTGTCTCATCTATCTTCCACCCTGCAAACAAATCAATTTATTTATTTGTTTATAGATTAAACCAGATCAAGGTTGTCCTGATGCATCCCAAAAGTCACTTAGACTTAAAATAATGAAAATTAGAACCGTACATGACGAGTAAAAAGAATCTGGACCTGCTTATGTTGACATTACACAAAATCTACATTGATGCTTTACATTGTATGAGACACACATTTTACCTCGTATAAAGATTTCTGTGACTGTGTCAGGTTTGTCGTAATTTTCCATCTCTACCTGGACTGATGGTTTGAAATATTCAAATTTCTCCTTCAATACAAATGTCTTAGGTGGTTGCTCAACTGGTTCTGTTGATAAAGAATGAAGAAAGTTTGAATGTAAGGATATTATTGTTTTAAACATATATAACACTTTAGGTCAATTGCTCTATATCTAATATGAAAATTAATTACTACAAAAACTAATGCCTTTACCTGAAATGTTCAATCAGTAAATGGACCCTTTAATTAAAAGTGTAAATGAACCCTTCAATTAAAAGTGTAAATGAACACTTAAATTAAAAGTGTAAATCAACACTTTGAACAATTAAAAGTGTAATTTGTACTGTCTTAATTTTTATCAAATCTTCTAATCAGCAGAAAACACTATCTGTTCTTAAACTGTCAATTGAAAATTTTACATAGTGAAAATGAGTATACAGAAAGTACACTTTATACGAAATGTCTCTGACACTTTATACGAAATGTCTCTGACACTTTATACGAAATATCTCTGACACTTTATACGAAATATCTCTGACACTTTATACGAAATGTCTCTGACACTTTATACGAAATATCTCTGACACTTTATACGAAATATCTCTGACACTTTATACGAAATATCTCTGCAGCTCTATACAAAAGATACAATAAGCTGTTCATCATTACAAATTCACACAAGTTCTGTCTACAGCCAGGTGGTGGGTATGAGTGTATTAATTAACTCAAGCTACACTCTACATACAGGTCAATAATAATGGACTCGGCTACAATTAACACTAACACACTGTAACAGACTTAATTACAATTAAGGTAGAGAGTCCCATCATCCTGTACAGCCAACAACAAAGGGCGCAAATTTGTTTGGCATTTTCCTGACATGGAATTGCCTGCCCATTTAAACACTAACGCGACGAGTTATTTACGAAAGAAATACTTATTATAAATTCCTTTTTTCATAAAACATTCCCTGTCACAAGTGCTTCATCCGGAGATCTCTTGTTAATTATAAAGCAGGGAGCTTGTCCACTGTACCAGTGGGTCACGATATTTTATTTGTTGTTGACACTTTCCTTAATATTACTAGGAATGATTTAAATATACCTGGGTAGTCTTCAACCTATAATTAGTCTTTGTATAAATAGACACCATTTTTTTTATCTGAGTCCTTTATACAGTAGAAAATGGTGGGACTATCTACCTTTATACATACAGCTAAACACAATGTAACAGTTTTACTTTATTCTGACACTCTGTTTGTTTGGTCCCCGTAAAGACAAATAACGGTTTTGTGAATTCCCATGTCAATTGCAAGGAGAAAATGGGCAAATCGCTTTAAATCACTTTTTCTTGTCATGAAACTCTTTAGTTTTCAGAGATAAAAGCTGACCATGTATCTCTAGTTCATTATAATTATCGTTTACTTGACAATTTTTTTAATTTCCATGATCAGAATTAAAGCATAAACAAAATGTGTGTATACATATCATGTAGACCCTAGGGAAAAATAACATTTTTAATTTTATCTTTCGAACTGTTCTTTCAGATGAAATCTTGAGATCTTTGAAAATAGGAATACTGATTAGATTTAAAGCTCCGAAATAGGGAAAGTTGACAAGAACGACCATATTCTTATTCATCATCATGAATTTATGATTGCAATAAATTAATTCATACACAATATAAATTGAAGATAAACTAGTTTGTCAGACAATTCATCCAGCAACAAACTTATATATATAACTGATCAATGAACAAAACCTTTAGGGTTGTATCAAAATGTTTTCAAATAAATGGAAATTCTCAAAATCAGTCAGTTGTCAAAAACATTATAACGTAGATAAGCATTAATAAACACGATAACATATACATAGCTTAAAATCTTTTGCCAACATTAAAATTGCTTCTGTTTGGCGTAACCCGACCAAGGATTTTAGGTTTGGGTAGGTAAGTCAAAATATTTTGACAGTCACATCAGCACTTTAAATATCCTATATTTATAGTGTCAATAAAACACTTTACAGATCTCCATTTCTAAATGTGGACAGTATAATAATGTTAATGGACTTAATATAAAAATAAAGTTTGGTAGAAAATATTGATATATTGAACTTTTGCAGTTCGGCCATTTTTCCTGGTTGGTCGGGTTATGCCAAACACGCCTAAAAAAATATATTTACACATAAAAAACATTAACTCATTGACCCCTGAAATTTCATAATGAGCTTTTCCAACCTTTGAATTGGAGGAGTTCAAATGTGTCTTCAGGGGTGAATGAGTTAACAAACAATACTAGCTAACAAACATAAATGTACAGATACATCACATATAAACAGTTTACTAACTAACAAACAACTTCACCAACATAACTCACTTTTATATTCATTGTTCTAAGCATTACGTCTATAGAAGCCATGATACATGTGTTTCAAACTAAGTTTTGATCATATTTTTTTTTTCTTTCAAATAAACCACCATTCACTGTTTATAGCTGGAACTGTGAATCATTTAACACTTACAGAACAAAGAGGTTGAAACACAGATATCAGAGGCTTACTTGATAAGTACATTAGAAACATATATATTGTTTGTTAAAATTCACGTTCCAATCACCAACACAGCATACCACATCAGTACAATCTATACTGACCTTGTATCAATGAACTTGTACAATAATTGACCTTTACATTCATTGACCTTGTACAATAATTGACCTTTACATTCATTGACCTTTACATTCATTGACCTTTACATTCATTAACCTTGTACAATAATTGACCTTTATACATCAATTGACCTTGTACAATAATTGACCTTTATACATCTATTGACCTTGTATAATAATTGACCTTTACATTAATTGACCTTGTACACCACATGAAATTGACCATGTACAATATCTGACCTTGAACAATAATTGACTGTGTACAATATCTAACCTTGTACAATATCTGACCTTGTACAATATCTGACCTTGTACAATTATTGACCTTGTGCAATATCTGACCTTGTACAATATCTGACCTTGACAATATCTGACATTGTACAATCCTTATTAAGAGAATGATAAGGTACCGGTATGTCGTGTTATTTATTTATATCAATCTGCCATACACCATAAATTTCTATACCTGAGTTCCTATAACAAAATGATATAAAAATGTAAACTAAATAAATACATACATTTATTAACACATATGTTTATATAAACTGACTAACTGCCAATAACTACTATGACATCACCTAAGCCCGATTCTAAACTTCACCTTTTATAATGTGTAAAAATACCTTGGGTAATATTTGAAACGGTATGGTAAATTGTAAATGATATTGATATCATGGCTGAACTATAAAAACTGACCATATTTCAACCATTAAAGCTCTAATTTCCTCATTTGAGGAGAAAAGGATTGGTACTACATTCCGTAGAGGTTAGAGGTTACGATTAGAGCCACGTCAATCTACCCACCACCTTCCAACAACTCGGGATCAGGCTCCGCCTCCGACTGCTGCTGTTGGGCACTCGTCTTGCCTTTTTCTTTGCCTTTCTCAGGTTTTGAACTTTCGACCTGCGACTGTGAGGTCGGTGGTCGCGCCCTGTGAACTACCGGTGGGATGACGGCCATATTGTTTCTCTTGCACAGCTCTGTAAAATCGGCCTGGAAATTCCCCGTGCAGTTGTAAGGCTCTGTAGATTATGAGGGGACATGAATATTACAATTATTTTTGCATCATAATATACAAGTGTTACAGGTATATATATGTATTAATTACACAGTAAGAAATTTCAATATCTTCTTCTAAATGAAAACATATCAGGGGAGATAATTACACTGACTCTTTGATTGTTTTGATGACAAATGGAGTTATTTGGGGTTTTAACCAAATGCAACAAATTTGAATTTTGAGATTTGTGTCTAGTTAATAGGTGACAGTATTTCAATATTTTTTTTCTTAATCAGTGTTTGGTTTGGTTTGGTTTGGTTTGGTTTTATTTAGTTTAACGCCCTATTAACAGCTCAGGTCATTTAAGGACATCAGGTAAAGCTAAGAACATCAGGTAAAGCTAAGGACATCAGGTAAAGCTAATGACATCAGGTAAAGCTAAGGACGTCAGGTAAAGCTAAGGACGTCAGGTAAAGCTAATGACGTCAGGTAAAGCTAAGGACGTCATGTAAAGCTAAGGATGTCAGGTAAAGCTAAGGACATCAGGTAAAGCTAAGGACATCAGGTAAAGCTAATGATGTCAGGTAAAGCTAATGATGTCAGGTAAAGCTAAGGACGTCATGTAAAGCTAAGGACGTCAGGTAAAGCTAAGGACATCAGGTAAAGCTAAGGACATCAGGTAAAGCTAAGGACATGCTCTCAATAACCAGGACTATCAATTTGTATCAGACTTGCAGTCAACAAACAACATGTTTAAATTACCAGGAGTTTTATTTGGATCGTCCTCATCTTGACTGACAGCAGACTGATTTTTCTCCTTCAGGGATTTTTCCACTTTCTTCCCCATCTTCACACGGTTTGCAATTCTATTGTAGCAAAAAAAGGAGTAAGTGATTAAAATCTCAACAAATATATATTGTGCTTAAAAGAAAAACGTTTGGTAATATCTAAACTAATATTACATTTTAGGGATAGTGTGTTGTTGAATGTAAAGATCTTACTCTACAACTTGGCAGGCTCCAGTCATTAATGGTGCGAGATCTACAATAATGTCAGGAGATTAGTTGTTATATATTGATAAAACATATTCTATCATATGTAACAAAATTTCACCCAAATCAGAAGAATGTTTTTTAAAATGAAATTTTAGATTCGAGGCCACTCTGTGTGCTAGCAGAGGACTTACACGGAGATGAATTTCTGATTTGAAATAAGTATTCAGTGAGATACGATTATTCCTAAGATGTTGCAGTTTTCAGGATTACCTTAGCATTGGAAATACAGATATTCTAAACGATGAAAACATTGCTCCAGATGAGACCAATTACACAGCAGTGTCTTGAGAGTTTTCTCTGGATTTACAGTTAGACCTCAGTATGATGTACAGGGAGTTTTTCTCAAACCTTATTCATTCTAATGAATGCCACCTCCATTTACAAACTGTGATGTGGAATCTGGTGGTTTTTACTTAGAGTAAGTACGGTAGGTAGTCGTAAATGCTGTAAAAATGTTGACATGTTAGACCAACATAGGATATAACAGGACAAATAGACACCAAAATAATCTGTGTTTCTACTTTCCTGACGCCATCAATCTTAAGAGTCCAGACTTTTTGAAGCTGTATATGAATTTCATTAATTTTACCGTTTTTTGTTGAAGTTGGAAACACTTTCTGTATACATAACATTGGTAAAAATACTTTCCAAGTAAAAAGAACTGAAAGGGGAAACACAACAGTTATTTTATTTGGTCATAGGAAGGTTTGTCAGTTTTGAGCTGTAGCTGAAGTCCTGACCTCTGACCTCAGCAGCTACGACTATATCACTAAGGTGAGTACAGTGACAGGTGTGTTCTCTATGTCATATATACAGGTGCTACCTATACAGTACAAGTCTTAGAACTACGAGGTTTTATTATACACCTACAGTAGTTCATTTAGAATGATGTTAATTAATACAGACAGACTGTGGCTTAACTTTTTAACATTTTTTTGTAATTTTCTTAAATAACATTTGAACTATTTGCTGATGATCATTAGAGAACAACCAAAATTTGTTTCCTGTTTTTTTGTCAAAAATTGACAGAGTAGAAGGAAAACCTGCAACACAATTTAAACAAGTAAATCACTTAATGAAAGATTCAAGTCAAATTTAAGATTAAAGTGAAACCTGTCTAATATGACACCCTGTAGAACACAATATATTGGTCAGATTAACTTGTCTAATCTGACACCCAATTGGACACAATCTGATGGTCAGGTTAGACAGGATGTTTCAATACACAGGTTTTATAATTTAGTTTTCTTTAGAATCAGGATTATCTTTTGTGTAACACAGGGTGTTGAAATACTCAGGGACGGATTGGACAGGTTTCATTGTACTTAATACAGTTACAAGTAAAACTAAAATCTGAAAAAGTAATTTTGAAATCATTGGTAAATTTTATACTAAATAGAAAGCATGAATCATATTATGTCCATTTTACAAATAAAATCAAATATCAAATTAACATCTAAATGACCGTCTACCATAGAGTGGAACCATTTTCCTTCTATAGAGATAGAGTGACCAATCCCTTCTACCACAGTGTGACTGAGTTACCAGAAAGTGACTCTCCCAGAGGCAGTGGAATACATGAACTAATAAAAGTGGTTTTTTTATCAACACCAGTTATTTTCATATATTAGTTATAAAGTATAGATTTCCCACAATGTTACCATGTTAATGACTTAATTACCAAAAAATTCTCACACTCAAGTGAAACAATTTTAATTCTGATTGCAAATATAGACTATTAGTTGTTTCCATACTAAAAATACTTGCCAACTCTCCCTATTTTGGAGGAACACTCCTGATTTTGGCCCTAAAATTGATCATTTCAACCTGTTCATCTGCTGAACAATTCCTATTTTCTAAGATCTGATGATTTCATCTTAAAAATAAAAATAAAAATGCCAATTAAAAAGCATAATTTTTCCCTATTCACACATTTCATTTAAGTTTATAACTCAGAGCATGAGTAATCTGCCCCATGGAAATTCCAGACAGTTGGCAAGTACTAATTATTAAATTTGAGTTTTAAGTCAAAGAACATTTTTATAATTATAAGATGTGGTAACATTATGGGGGTGGAGTTAGAACCTCTCCCCTCTACATCCTCACCTATGCATGGTTGCTTTAAATCCCTTACAAAAAGTAAAAAAAGTAATATCATGTTTTAGAATACAAACTTTTCCAACAGAAACACTAGTCTGTCAGAAGTCAAAATCCCTTAATGAAATGACAGAACACACTTTGTATTCCCTACGTTTGAATTCCTTAGACTGTAGGTTACACGACGGTATAGGTAAAACACAAGTGAGACACTGCCTAACTTAAACTTGTGTGTTTCGAATCGACCCTTTCTACCATAATTCTGGACAAAGGTTTCTGAAATAAAAACAAAAATAACACAATCATTACAGCTACGCCTGCTAGAACAGTGTCAAATCAGATCACATCATAGACACAAAGATACAATGGATGGCTGGAAGCAGCCAGCAGGTTTCTTTTTATCCAGGACTGCCGGTAGAAACATACCAATATTTTGACCACATTGACAGTATAGGTGTACTGGTCCATGCAGGCTTGTAACTGACCTTACATTGCTTTAAAGATGTAAAGATGTAAAGCTATCCTTTATGTGTAATATGAAAACGTAAATTTGATTATTAAATATTAAAAAAAAATCAGACGTATAATTTTCTAACATATTTAATCAATATTTCTGTAGGATATTTTTTTTAATGCTACCTTTATGTGACTGCTTTATTGATAGATTCACCTTTATAAAATAAAAAAGTTTTTTTTTAACATTTTCTTTCTTTTACGAAGCTCAAATGATGCTTTGGAATTTAAATCTAGCAACACCGAAACTACAGATGAACATTTTTTCGCATTGCAAACAATTATATTCAAACTATTTTACTCAAATACATGTAGAACAGTAGAGATTCTACTATTTTCTTTTCATTAAGAACAACTCGAAATTAATGGCAAACTTCTGATATAATTAGTTTATGCCACAAGTAATCAGTATCATGCCACAAGTAAACAGGTCGGGGAAAACCACAACTTGCGTATCATATGCAAACTCGCCTATTATACGCCAATAGGGGTATGGATTTGTTACTAAAAATTGCCAAAATCACTTTAATCTGAACTTTTTCAAATTGTTTGTCCAAGTCGCATTTATTCTTTCATGAAACATAATACAAATGCAAAAATAAACTTTATTTGCATGTGGGAAAGTACCAAAAATAGATGCAATACTTCCGGTAAATTTACATCAAGTTTCTAAGTAGCCAACGCTTTCAGTCAACATCTTTTAGCAAAATATTATTTACCTTGTCGTAAATTAATGCGATTTTCAATAATATCTTGCAAAAGTTACTGTTAAAGCGATTTGGGTTATTTTTAGTAACAAATCCATACTCCAACTTGCTTATAATAGGCTAGTTTGCGTATATACGCAAGTTGGTGGTTTTCCCCAACCTGAGTAAACAGTATCATGTTGTCATGTAGTCGGGTTCATCCAGACATTCTAGAGTGACATAACGCCCCAAAGTATATGATGTCCTTATTTGTTTTGTTTGTTTTTTTATTGTTAGTAAATGTAAAAAATCTCTCCTATGCCAAACTACTTAATTGTTGTCATTCAAAAATGTTGCAGATACAAACATTGAAATAGTTTTGTAGACATTTTTTCTCTCCTGATATACAGTCTATTGTATCGTTGCCATTATGCAACGTCAGGATTAAATAGGTTGTCCTTGTAGAATAAAATCAATGCAGTCAGGCTTTCTAGTAAAAGATTTAACAACATGCATTAACAGTGTAAATCACATCGTTACTTAATTTTGCTGTAGTTACTCACTTACTGTAGTTAATTTATTCGGTAATTTTCACTAGCCCAGAGATTAGAATAAAGGACTCAGAAACACTAAGGCTTAAGTATAGTACGAACAGCTCTCATCCCAACAACTTTGAATCGTACAGATCATATCTAATGTGTATCTTTATGCAAGAATGGCACTTCAAGAACTACAGTACACAGTATAGAAACTCATTTTGCTCAAATTAAAAGTCGCATGTTGTGATGATAGATTTCTTTAACCATCGTCAAAACCATTTGATGACAATTGGCGTTAAGCATCCATATACATTGTTATACATGAATAAGAATGTTTTATAACATATGAAGTGGAAACTGTGCCAAATACGGCGTTTATTATCATGTTTTTTTCTCTCACTTACCCGTAAAATTGCAGCCTAATCACCGTGTGATTACAAGACGACGGAAGTGAAAGCGCGATAGGAAAATGAAAAATAACCCATCCATTTATTCGAAGGATTGTAATAATTTATCATGTTTTTCAATTCTTCTTTTATATTTGACAGATTTAAAATATTTTTTGCTACTTTAGATATACTATGATGCATAAATGGTCCAGTTATTTGTTAAATATTCATACGCGTCGAGTCTACTACTAATGCGCATGTATTGGTATTAAATGAACAGTCCACTTCCTGTTTACCTTGACAACACGTGCCAACGTTAAGAGTGCACCTCGATTGAGCACCTGGCAATAATATTGGAAGAACGACACATATAATATAATCAATCAAACGTTTATCTGTTAAATATTTTTATCGTTATAAAAAGTGAAGTATGGCGGCAGTACGATTTACAGGGTCGTGGCATAGATCCCAAACCCACCGGTACAGTTCATGTATATAGGCTTATATATATATATAACGTTATGCCTATCTATAGATATATATATATCTAATACACTTACATATGGGCCGTGGGGTTTTGGATCTGTGTCACGCCCCTGTGATGAGATCAATATATTGTTAGTGCTAAATCACTGAAAATAGCAGGTCCGTTACAGTAGTGTGCAATGCAAACTATATATAATTTCATTTTCATTTCCTTTAAATTTGATACACGTCCGTCCGTTTATAAGTGTACGTCGCAATCCTTTCGCTACTTTAGAGTAAACGTTCACATGAAATGTTAATTAAAAAGTTGCATTGTTTTTACCCGAGATGCATATTGAAAGCGATTATCAAGTAAAAGACAAAATATATATACCGGGCCGTTAATATATTCTACATAAAACGGGTTTTTTTTTACCTGGGAAATTGCGAAAACTTGAAAAAGACAAATATATAAAGCATATATATAATTTAAAAAACGTAAATAAATAAATAAAATGTACATAATAATATATATTTTTTTAATCATAATAATAATAATAATGATAATATACACCATTTGATATAGCGCCCTATATCTAGCTAACATACGCCACTCTAAAAGCGCTTTACAGTACATAGATATACAATTAATACAATTAGCATACATTAATCAATACAATTTTTGAGAAATTCGCAGGAGCTGCCTTATTAGGCGCTAACTACTAGTCCTATGCCACCTGGCTAATATTTCCCAAAAAGAATTAGAAATTAAAAACTTAATTAATACCCGCAGCAAAATTATATGAAAATACCCCGTTTGAGAGACATTCTGGTTAAACTTAATTATGCATACGAGCTTACCTTAGCACTCCGTTAATAGTTCTGCTGAACGTTTTCAGATCCCCTTCCATGTTCGTTCTTTGTATCGGAATTAAAGGAGTTTACATAACAAATAAATCAGACTGAATTATCTGTACAAAACAGCGACACACAACGAATGTGTGTGTGTAAGAACAGGGATGTGTAGTAGGAAGAACGTTGTCATTTCAATGTTTTCACCATTTTCACCAGAACTGAAATCCAGCCCACACCTGATAGCGTTTATCACACTCTGTCATGAAATCATTATGTATTGTCCACCAATAATTATAGCGACACACAAGGTATATCTATCAAACTCACGTGTCAGTAATACTTTGTCGGTGTGTACCATGTGTGTAAAACCATATCGTTTCACATGTATCACGGTGATATAATGTGTTAAACGTTTCAGTATCCTGTTGATGGAGTCTCGTGTTAATGTTACCATGGTAATGTAACATGTAGTATGGGATTCCGTCTTTTCCTATTGCAGAGTTATCTGCACTTGTGAGCAGGTATTGATTGTTACGTCACTTGTTTGTGAGAGTAACGTCATCAATTTTTGAGAAAACGGCGTAATTTTCTCACACGAACCAATGACGTAACAATCAATCCCTCCTCACAAGAGAAGATAACTCTGCAATACGCAAAGACGGAATAGGTGCTAGAATCAATATTGGACTGTCTCCCTCAATATCGGACTTCAATCATTGCTACTACATAATCTACATGTACTACTGTGCCATTAGTATGACTTTTAAATTATCTATAAAATCTTCTAATCCACCCAAAATCAATAATAATTCGAGACGTTTTTTTCCCAACAAAGTGAAAAACAGATACCAGTCGTTGCATGTATATTGCACCACTGCTAGTCTCGGAGAAGACGAGGATATTTCGAAATGTTTCCAAAGTGCACGTCCAAGGTTTTTTTTCTATCACTAGTTACATCGCCTAAAGCGTCAAAATTATTTAAACCCGGTATTACGATTCACCAAAAACATCTCGGTTGAACACAAAATAAAAGTTACAGACGTCAAATCTCACTTCTAATTTCCATACATAGTACCCGTTCCCATTCCCATATAACATGTATCCATTGGATGATTTCTGATGATTTCAACACTGCTAAGGTAGAGAATTAGAGAAGAGCTGATTAGCTTGCAATCTTATTGCTTGCCATGCTGAAACAACATTATAACTAGAAAAAATGTTTTTAAGCATAGATATAGTATACCCCCCCCCCCCCCCCCCCCCCCCCCCCCCCATCCCACTTCAAAGTAAAACAGAAATTTTGGGTTACATTGACCTATATTTGATATATTGTGGTGTAGTACTCCTCAAATTGTATACATACATGGAGTTTGATGCCGTCGGGGTTTTGTATGAGAGTAATGGAGCTCAACGCTAAGTCTAAATATTATTGTTGATCGAACTTGACCATGATGTTAAAACGTTTATGAGATATCTAATATATATATATATATAGTATATCAAATAACGTGAGAATCTAACATAGAAATAAGTTGGAACAATAACCACATTCTATTTAAGAGTATATGACATATATCATATTGTATGCAAGATTTCTAATAGAAAATTCAATGAGATATATAGTATTTGAGAGACATTTAGTGTATCTTTCATGGTAAATCATTTTCTATAAGAGTTACCTTATAACATATGTCATATCGGTATCATATATGTTATATAATTTGCTCCAAGAAGTTGGCTTATAAAAGCGCTGGCACAGTATACTTACGCTTGAAATGAGACTTTCGCCAGAGAGGCCATACCCAATAGAGTTGTTTCCCTTGGTACTATCCACACCAATGCACTTTCTGGGATGTTAGGGATGGATATGACGATTACGTCACTTCGCTATTTCATGACGTCACTACACGCCTCGGTACGTACTTTCCTGCATCACAGATCAATTACCCATCAATTGAAATAGTAACATGTTTGACATCCCGAATCTTCTCAAGAGGGAAACATTCTGAATGTTGAAATCGAATACAGGTATAGAAATTGAGCAGAACATTTTGATTTCCAAATCACATCATATACACCAACTTCGGAGAGAAAAACACGATTCAAAAACATTAAAATTCAATTAGACCGTACAGCATGCCTGACAGGTATAGTGTTGCATAAGTCCCTCAATGAAGCAGTATCACCAGGTGTGATTTGCTTCTAATGACGGCCCTAGCAACGATAACAATTACTCTGACCGATCTAGACGGTAACAATTACTCTGACCGATCTAAACGGTAACAATTACTCTAACCGTTCTTAACGGTCACAATCTTTCGATTTAGAGCAAAGTTTGCCGGTTACGATGAAAGTATATAACATCGCGTTGATGTCTCGCCAGTAAACACAGTCAGACGTGAAATACAGGACCACGTTCACCGCCCTCTGATAAAACAAACCATACTGATTGACTTAGACTCTTTCCGATAACATATTACTTTTTTCATTGGAAACAGGACGTACGCGGAACGTATATAGTTACCTATATGTGTGTAATGATGTGGTATAGGGTCACTTTAAACTGTATAGGGTGCAATTCATTTTTTATGTCGTTTACGATTTATTCACAGAAGAAAGACAAGTGGTTGTTGTTTTCCAACTCGGTAAACAATATTAAATATTTGTTCAGAGTAAAGGTATTTTATACACTTACAACGATAAATCAGGAATGTGTCAATTGGTTGATAGAACAAATTAAATTGGTTTTATACATATTCTCGTTAATCAGTTAAATCGTGGTTCGGATAATAAAGAAAGGTCTGTTTCAAAGGTGTTTTAACGGTTTATCGTTACTAAGGCGAGGTCTCTGTGACTAAGCGCTAGAGTCTGCACGCGGTACAGTTGATTTCCCACCGCCCGTGCCTAGACGGCTGGGGTTCGATTTCTCCAACCGGACGAGAAAAGGCAAGGATCACGTCACCAGCCCGACTACGCAGGTTTTCTTCGCGTACTCCGGTGTTCACCATATTAAGACCAGCTGCGTTCTTCCATCCGAACCAAATCCGACCCAAGTACAGTAATTAATATTTTAAAGTGTAGCTGATACACTAGTTCAGAATTTTTGTAGAATAAACAGTCAGCGATCGAGGAGCATGAAGAAGCTTACGCGTGTGTAAAGGGACGGTTTTTATTAAAAAAAAGTGTCTAAAATTATAGAGGTGGTGGTCTATCTATCCCAGAGGTTCTATAGCTACTTGAGTAAATTGTAGAGGAGAGCTCCAATCGGGACGTATAGCTGGGTAAAACATGTGTATGTCTATATTGACGAGGAATGGCGGACGGTAGCGGGTTCAGAGTTTGGAGGCGAAATATCTGTCCATTACCGATCATTTATCAATGTCTGAACATTTGTCTTGATAATAGATGTTTATACGAAAACCCTATCATACATAGGAAGGTAATTTTGGCCTCGGCCTGAACAGTGTACAGACGTAAATAACGAATCAATAATACTGATATTATTTTGTTATACATACATAATGCATTTGTCAGCCGCTGTTGGTTTTTTGTTCGAACTTTATCGATAGGGAACACGCAATATCATTACCTAAAAAGTCATAAATGATTTTCATCGAACTTATTCGCGTAAGAATTTCTAAAGATACTTTATCAAAAGTCTGCCTGAAGTTCGCCTGTTGTGTTGGCTGTTTACAAAATATCATTAAAAAGTACCGTCCACGAGTTCATTATGTACCGGGATATGTGGTCACACGAATACCTGTCGGCTCCTCTGACGGTAAAGCCCTAGGTTCTTACATATCACCTCATCTGACAGAAAAATCCCACATCCCAACACCCCGGCTCATCTAACAGACCAATCCCATTATCCCAATATCCCGGATCATTTAACAGAACGATCCCACAGTCCCAATAGTCTGGCTCCTCTGACAGAGCAATCCCACAATCCCAATATCCGGGCTGCTTCTAACAGAACAATCCCTAATCCCAACATTCTGACTCCTTCTAACAGAACAATCCAATAATCCCAACATTCTGACTCCTTCTAACAGAACAATACCTAATCCCAACATCCTGACTCCTTCTAACAGAACAATCCCATAATCCCAACATACTGACTCCTTCTAACAGAACAATCCCATAATCACAACATTCTGACTCCTTCTAACAGAACAATCCCATAATCACAACAT